GTTTTCCAGTTCTAGCCATTGGTTTCGATGACTTTACACTGTGGGCATATTCCATAATTTTTGGATCATCTAAATGTGTAGTGCTGCTGCTTCAACTTCTCTCAAGAAGCTGGCAAAAACTTGATTGAGATCAGCGTACGAACTAATCTATTAATTACAAGTCGATATTCAAATGACTTAGTTTGGCGTGATCTTTTTTTATTTGTTATTTTAATTATTGACCGTAGAACGTCTCTTGTGAATTTTGTCTGTATCATCAGACAGCTACAGCCAAGAATTTGTATACATGTTTCATGATATTATGCATGAATCGAATTCTTATATTTTTCTATTTTGCGCAATCGGTTAAATCATGACTGTAAATATAGACACTTCTTTAATTATTATTATTATTATTATCTATAATTCTATCTAGTTAGATGTGCTACAGTTTACGAGGTGCACTAATGTTTGATTTTCAAAGTTGGCATTCAAAGCAAAAATACAAGGGGAATCCTAATTTCTTGCCAAAATTTGGTGGTCTTGAATTTGGAAAATTTTGCAAAAATAGCCATTTTTAGGTGCATTTACTGAAACACCTTTTTTTTTCCTGAAAATTGACCAATTTTTTCGTGTAGCCAAGATTTTCTGTACACAGAGGTTGGTGCTAATATCGCGTTAACATGCCAAATCTCGAGTTTGATATGGTAACACTAGAGAACAATTTGGCCATCTATAAACAGTCAAGATGAAGAAATCTAATAGATCGGCCTCGGTGGTTTGTCTAGACAATAATTGCAATAAGCAAGTCGAGCTTCTAAGGTCCGATCTTCAGATATCTTCATGGTTTGAAAGTATGTTTCCACCCACACATGTCCAATAGTCTTTTGAACGAACAACCATAGATGAAATTTCCACATTGACATGTTAATGCCAATTATTTTTTACATTTCTTGACCGGATATTCAATATGTTTAGTGGCCTCGTATGAATAATATATTATTATTTTAGATCTAATCAATTTGATGAATCACTCCTAAAGGGAATTTGCATTAGAAAAACGAAATTGGGATACAAAATTTAACACATGCTACAACCAACAAATATATGATACCTTATTCACATTCCTCCACAAGCACGATATTATACATTTCCCATATTCCATGCCCAACATTAACGTTAAATACAAACTTGCAAATCAAATTCGAATATGCAATACCCATACCTTAGAATTTGACCCAAATTCCTATTTGGATTAGGTTTAGGTTGTTGATTGATAAAGGAGAAACAACTTTGGTTTGGAAGTTCGGTTTGATAAGGGATAAAATTTCATCAAGAATTTGGTGATTGATTGGGAAAAGTACTTTGGAATGTTGAAAAACACTTTAGAAGGTGTTATAGTCGAGACGGGGCACTTGGGCACCGGGTCACAGTGCCTAGGCATCAGACAAACAAAAGGAGAATAATGGCTTGGCGGCGCCACCTGTTCGGGTAGAATTCAATTCCAATCACGATTCTTGTATTCTAGTTCGTTCAAAACATCAAAATTTGGCTCATATATATACTCCACATGATGTAGTGAAAAGGCATAGCAAATTATTGTATAGCATTGGGAGAACAACAAAGTGAGAGGTTCTAATTTATGGAGAGAGACTCGTATATTTTGAGATAGGTTTAGAGTCTTGCATAATCTTTTGTACTTCTTTACTATTGATTTTAGTGAGTTCTCCGCCTCTATCCCGAATTTCAGTTTTCATGTTAAATCTTGTATTCTTGTGTGATTCTTATTATCTTGTCATTCTCTTTATCTTGTCATTCTCTTTACTTTAATATTCATAATAAGTGGTATAAGTTCTATCACCGAGTTATTGCAAATCGCTTGTGTTACACCTCGCCACCGAGGCTCAAATGAGCAAGAAACATTTACAAACATTTTTGTGAGCATTTGCATCCTCCATCATACACTCTTGGTTGATAAATATCTTAATACACAATCTTATAATTTCTATTCATACTATCTTCTATCCTTTCACATATTCTAGTTAGATCTTTGATAAGTTACTTTGGTTCTCAATTGGTGATCGTTGTTAGCGCGATCATCTTGTTTTACCCACCAGAGCTCGAACACTTTTGTCTCCCGTCGTAGAGTATCTCTCGCGTTCACGTCCGTCTCCTTTCTTACTGCTCCACCTGTAGAAATGCCCCGAAACTTGCTTGACTTGGCAAGAGTGGGCCCTGCATCTGTTGGCTCATTGTTCGAGGTCAACAACTTGTTTTTTAACATCATGATTTATTATGACATAAAAATGCCATAAGGTTTCTCCAGAGAGAGAATGAGTTCGTAGAGACGGTAACAAGCTTCGTTAGTGAAATCACGGGGATCTACTTTTGCAAATTAACAGACGTTCCAGTAGAATTAGTGGAATCACGAGTTTTCCGAACACAAGCTAACGGGAATGGAGGTTTTGATGGATTTAGGATGTAACTTCGTACAAGGAATAAGGATATGTTTTCATCATTACGCTAAAAATGCCTACTGGAATGTCAACTTTTAGTGGCGTATTTGTCTCCCTTTTTAAAAATGGGTTAATTTCACAAACGATCACTGAAGTTATCTGAAAATCACAAAACAGTCACTGGAGTTTAAAACTTGCAGAAACGGTCATTGAAGTTTAAATTTCTTTCACAAATGGTCGCTGAATTTTCAGATTATTTGGACAAGTTTTGCGGCGATNCGGTCATTGAATTTTCAAATTTTTTGGGCAAATTTTGAGGCGATTTTCCGGCAACTTCCGACCACCAAGACTGCCGGATTTGGATGCCGTTGGAAAGCCAACAATGTCATCTTCAATTTTCACCAAAAATCTCCCCATAACTCCAAGGGATTCGGCCGAAATATACCCACGAAGTCAGCTACCGAAAAATCTGAAAATCTACCCAGATTTTCAGATTTTTTGGGCAAGTTTGCGGACATTTTCCGGCAACTTCCGACCACCAATACCGTCGATTTCGGATACCGTTTAAAAGCCCACAATGTCATCTTCAATTACCACGAAAAATCTCCCCATAACGGATTTGGCCGAAATAAACACACGAAGTCAGCTACCCAAACCGGGCAAATTTTCAGATTCTTTTGGTAGCTGAATTCGTGGGTTTATTCCGGCCGAATCTCTTGGAGTTATAAGGAGATTTTTGGTGGTAATTCAAGAGGACATTGTGGGCTTTCCAACGATATCCGAAACCAGCGGTATTGGTGGTCGAAAGTTGCAGGAAAATTGTCGCAAACTCGCCCAAAAAATCTGCAAATTTTCTTATTTTTCAGTAGCCGACTTCGTGAATATATTCCGGCCGAATCCCTTGGAGTTATGTGGAGATTTTTGGTAGTAATTGAAGAGGACATTGTGAGATTTCCAATTGTATCCAAATCCAGCGGTCTTGGTGGTCGCAAGTTGCCGGAAAATCGCCTCAAAACTTGCCCAAAAAATCTGAAAATTTAGTGACCTTTGTGAAATAAATTTAAACTTCAGTGACCGTTTGTGCAAGTTTTAAACTTTAGTGACCGATTTGTGATTTTTAGGTAACTTCAGTTACCGTTTGTGAAATTAACCCTTTTAAAAATCGACCACGTATCCTTATTCCTTTTTAAAAATCGACCTTTCAATTTTTGGCCATTTTTCAAAATGGCGTGGCAAAATTGAACATTACTCGCGACTTCCACAAAATACAATTTGCTTCGCAGGTTAAATTCCTGCATTAATTTACAGTTCCACTACAAGAAAAAAGAGGCGAGATCATCCCCGATTAAATGGTCGATGAATTATTGATCTTTAAATAAATGTGACCACCTTCGGCATTCGTAACACCCATAAGCCTTGTTTACCATTCTCAATTGCAACTCTACGTGTATAACATCAGTTCATAAGAAATGATATAGCACCGAATGAGGAGAATCTGTCTCGAATTTGATGAAATAGAACGCACCTCTTGCCAATTTGATTCCATGGAGAGATGAACATGTGGCTCTTTCCATTGTCCAAACAAGATTTGTTAGATTAGCCGACTTTTCTATAGGTTATATATTTGAGTTAATTAAATCACTGTCTACTAAACTTTACACATGGTTACTACTCGCTCATTGAAATATAAGAGGTTACTCAATGCTCATTAAACTATTCGTTAGTTAACCCATCAATCACTGAAGCTAATTCCGTCTCTAAAAATGTCTACGTGGCGGATGGAAAAATTATGTGACAATACACGACGTTAATTAACCACACGTGTATATTTCGCTTGCCATATCATCCGCCACAGACACTTTTGTCCAGCTATAGAGATGAAATTAGCTTCAGTGATTGATGGGTATACTAATGAATAGTTCAGTCAACATTGAGTAACCTTTTATATTTCAGTGAGCAAGTAATAACCATGTGTAAAGTTTAGTAGACAGTGATTTAATTAACTCTTATATATTTAGTCATGCACCTTTTTTGTTCCTTGTTGCGGAGTCGATAAATTATACATCCTCCAGTTGAATCATAACGATTTTCTTCAATTTTGATTATATCTCCTGCAATACCAGTATAAAACTACCTTGGATCGTAAAAAATGGCCGAAATTTTAAGGATATTATAGCACAATGCAAAAGGAAAACGTTTTTAACCAACTCCAACTTAATATTTTTACATATAAACTTGTACAAATGATCTGAATTTGCTAAAAACACCTTCATTTTTTCCTAAGTCATTTTCGACCAACACGGGAAATAAAAAGCAATACTGCACTATTACCCAAACAATGAATTACAGATTTTAAGAAGAATGAAAAGAAAAAGAAGAAAATATATCTGTACACAAGAATTAAGAGTGGAAGTAGCACAAGAAAATTATGCTTCAAAAAAATCACCAATTCTGAGAATGGCGCAGCTGCAACTAAAAACGAACCATCCAAAAAGTGCACCGAGGTAGATAAACAACAAATCTTAATGCCACTTCCCTAATATGCCTGCAAAAATTTCACCTATCTCACATGGCCGGGAAAATGGAAGGTCTGAGCTTTAACCAATGTATCATCTCCTTGTCGACTGGAGCCTCCTGTAAAATGGCATCTAACATAGGACTGCCAACAACTCTAGGAGAATTCTTGAATGACCAAATCCGATCTTTTGGCCATGGTCTCTGAGGTTGTTTCTCCTAGAAATGAAGAAAACATGATTCAATCGAGAGGTCATCAACCAATTGTGTTCACAAAGACAAACAAAAACTCAACACCAAATCAAGGCATGAGAATCGAATTACCAAATGAAAGAAAAGAGTGAGGTCCTCCCTCAATATTTATTTATTTTTTATTTTTATTTTTTAAAATTTTAGGAAAGTTGGGGACAAAAATAGGGGGAGGTGAATTACACTGGATGAAGCTTACCATTCTAGCAAGCATAAACTTCAGTGTCCTTGGGCCATAAACACGTCGGTGTGATGGCTTCTGAAGTTTGGCATAAAAGGAACCAACATCCGGTAAAGATAAGCAACCCCTGCTAGCTTGGGCTAGGCTAGCATCAGGTTCAGCATTAGCTTGATTGTGCCAAAATATCAGCTGGCCTAAACAATAAGTCTCATTGTATGTCTTACAATACTCATGAATGCCGGACCCCAACTTACCAGCATACTTGGGGCCAAGGTCAAGTGGACTGATGTAAACAGGTGGGGAAGTCATAGTCTTATATTCCTGCAAGACGACGTAAATTAGATCTAGAGGAATCAGAAAGCCTTGGAGGCAAGAGCTTTTCATATAATAAAGTTCCCAGAATACAAAAACTCACTCTTATTCTGAAAAAACATTTTGTGTAAGCATATATATGAATTAAGTCAGCAGCAGCATCATGCCGACATCTGTACGTACAAGGAAGACTGCGGACCTCATCCCTCAACCTGAACCAAGGAGGTGAAATCAGTCTTGAAGAAGTTCCAAGATCAAGACACTGAAGGTCATAAATAGTTCACGTAGTTTACCATAACAATGACTTCCGAAGCTCGGTCTCCAAATCACCAGAGCCAGAAGGATCATGGGCAAGAACCTTGGCCTTAAGGTCTCTCAACATACCATCTTCCATAAGAGGAGCCATGCATTGGATGAGTTCCTCCACAACTGATGACTCTCCTTTCCAAACATATGAAACTGCTGCTTCAGGGCTAAGCCTCTCCAGTGGAGGGGGGGCTTTCTTTGGGTCACCGAAAACACATCTCATGACGTACCTCACCTGTTTGACCACAGAAAATACAAAATATTTTTAGATTCTTATTCCATTATCTCCCATACTTATTGATATAAATATTTTTTTTTATTTAGGGGTTAGGGAGTTTGCTTTAAGAAATGAGCAACTGCCTACCTTGTCTAGAGTAAGAGCCAAATTTTGAAGCCTTTGGTTGTAGACACCTTCGGCCTGTAGCAACCAAAATTGTTGACAATATCAATATTAGTAACTCCCAGCATATCTTTAGATACATGGTAACACAGCACACTAGATAGAGAGCATTTACCTGAACCTCAGCATCACTTCTCTCAATCTCCAGGCTTACATCTGCAAAGTATTTCTTCTTTTCTTCTATGTTATGCCTCAGAATTACATCAGGAAGTTTTGTCCTCTCAAAATTTATAAATCTCACCTATATTACAAATCAATAATTAGAAAAAATCAAGAATTTATTTATATATGAACATAAAAGTAGCACTAGATCAAAGATACACACCAGACGAGCTGAATAGGCAATCAGCCAATCAGGTAACCCGCCAAGTAAACAACTGCCAAGTCCAGCTTTACCCAGGTCAATGTAATCTTCTTCAGACACCAAATCTAGTTCACAAGCTTCTAGCATCAAACGATGTCGATCAAGTACCCCGTGATACTCTTTTATTACCTGATGACTGCAACAATCAGATACCGTCTAGCATAGCCAGTCCAAATACATGATTTTATATAAGGGGCGGATACTTAAGCAGTTTAACGGGAGAATTCTATAATAGATTTCGCCTGTTAACTTCTCATGACTATGATAATTTCTATATCAAGTTAAAAAGTGCTGAATTTATGTGCAATGTATTGAACACCCTTCAGTCCCAAGTCTTTGAGATAAACAACCAAATGTTGGTCTTAAGTATTTACAGGAAAAAAAAATGTGCAATAAAATTTATGAAGCATTAAATAATGAGTCCACCCCCAAACCTAAGATATTCCAAATAGCAAAACTGGGAAAATTCTCAATTTGTCAACTTTCTGAAACGCAAAATTTTGTCCAGTCATGCTTCTTATATAAGCAGCTGCAAAAATTTGAGAAGTCCTTTAACTAACAGAAAAGGATGCAATGTCTATACCTTTTGGAAAGCCCCCTCCCCAGTAAGATTCAGATAACTTCCACGGCAAACCTGGCTGCCACATAAGCAAACAGAAGCTTCGTACTCTTCCTTACTCTACAACAATGGTATTGAAAATCAATCAGTTCAATAATAAACTAACAGCTAAGCTGTCAAGCTTGAGAAAAGCTTCACGCGATGTCAACACTATACCTCTGTAACAGAATTGTAGTCAAAGGAGATCTCTTCACCATATGCAATGGGTCTAACCGAATAGATCCCAATCTGGTATCGACCATCAACAGCAGTAACCCTATTATCATGAAAAGGGAGGATAGCTTGGTTAATAATATGACAGATCTTGATATAATAGAATTACATCTTATCATGAAAAGTAAACAATAAATGGTCTAATGGTCAGAGAGAATGACTTTTTTTAAGAGATTCACAAGATTCCAAAATTAAGCCCATGTTTGGTATTGATTTTAATCGGATTTTAATCTAAGTCAAAGTCAAACAATCAATATTAACCACATATTTTATGGGTCCACAACTTTTTAACCACCATTTCAAAAACTTTTACCAAAATCTACAAAAGATCTATTTTTAATCTCAACCAAACGGGGGCTAAAACAATTTTCATTGAAGTTATCTCGGAGAAAACAATAAATGGTGATGAAACATAAATCATTAATGGCCAATCAGCTACGTTGAAATGACAGAGAATACAAAGATACAGATCAGTATACGCAAAAACAAACCCCCTTTTTGCTAACAGATTTCTATCAGGTTCCAAAACCAAGTGAGTTTTAAGTTATAACGCCCAAAGTGGAATGGAGTACATTATTAATTTATCGGACAAGAGAACTTACTTTGCTTCACAATTAGGTCTACATGAATGACAAATTCGGCTTGCATAGTTTGCCTTGTGCATTGCATCCACAACAACTAAATCATACCCATCAGCATCACCCTGCCATATGAAGATAATATATAAGGTCCAAGCATTCTGGGGCAAGAAGAAAGCAGCAGCAGCAGCAAAACAATCAAATAACAAGTCTGAATTAGGAAACTCGATCAAATTTAAAATACCTTTGGCCTCTCAAGATATATGTTGTAGAACTCAGGTGCTGGATCTTTATCGTTTTTTTGCAATGAACGAATTCCATCTTGCTTTTCAAACCATTTCCAAGAAGGATAAACCTATGATTATCAGAATGAATAACTTATCATAAATTTTGAAAACATTTTTTCCCGGAATAAGCATCAGAGTAGATTTAAGTGTAGACAAACAAGGCAACAAACGATTAACATAAATAATCAATGAAGATGCAAAATAACTATCAGGAGCTAACAGTTCAATTCACAAAAATCATGGGAAGAGCATATATAAGCATATTAACATCATTCCATAAATCATCCAGGAGACGCACAGTATCCAGAACTTAATCCCTAAATATATGACATTGTACTTTACCTCTCCCAGAAACTCAACAACAAAATCATCCTCACTGAAGCCACCTTCTTTGTTGCAAACAACACCGAGCCCCTTTTAGAAAAATAGAAGTTCAAGAAAATAAAATTAGATATTCTCAAAGTAACCGAATAAGCAACTAAAACAAGATATAGTGCAACATGAAGAAAAGAAAAATCCAATAATACGAATAAGTATAATGCAATAAACCTTTCTATAAGCAACATAATTGTCTTCCGGACGACTATCAATGGCCTTCAGGATGAACTGGCATAGTCTCATGGTTCTCCTGTCATTTTCTTCCTCCCCAGTTTCTAATATCTCTTGAAATACAGGTTTCAAAGGATAAATCATAGGAGTGTTTCCAGTGCCAGTGAAGTGCCTGGCCTGCTTGTTGAGCGTACAAAGGAGAACATCTTCGATAAACAAATGCTTATCAGTAAGAGACCAGTCTGATTCTTCTGGCATGGAATCCAGAAGAAGATTATGAGTATACGGATCTATCCCATACACTTCTTGTTCTATCACCTCATCTCCCAGGAATTTTCTGGGTTTGTAATCCTTAACTTCAGGAATTTCCATGTCCGACTCCTCAGTGCCATTTCTTTGTGCATTCAGCTTCTCAGCATAATCATCAGGTAAAGAAACCTGCATCTTTCTTTCCACTTCGTCCTCATCTGCAACAATTACATAGTGATCAACGACTTCATACTTTCTGGTAACAGGTGGAACAAGGCCAGACTTTGTCATGCGAGCACCCCATTCACGTTCATCGGCCCAAGAATCAAACCCATCATCAGGAGAAAAGTATGCATCCCCTCTTGACTCTCCAGTTCCACCTTCTGACCGTAATTCCAAGTCACTTTCCGTGTCTGACGCAGAACTCTCACTGTAAGTCATACTTTCACCAGAAGATTTGTCAAGGTCATCAGATGTGTCACTCCCTGAGTCCATAGATTTCTTATTTAATTTGGATAAACGCCTTCTAATTTCTCTATCAGATGCATAATCTCCATAATCAGAAGCACCATTAATGAATGGTGAACTATTATGCAAGTACTTCCTGTCTGACACCCTACTCAAATTCTTTTTATACTTTGACGAAGTAGAGGAAAAGCCTGGAGGTGAGTCATCTTTCCAAGACTTCATTATCACATCTCTTTCATGAGAAAGCTTCGAACCTTTTTCCAAGCTCGTAGCTAGACGGATAAATAATGTAATGATTCGGTTCATATCTCTGGAATCACCACGATTTTTCATTCTGAAATCATAAAAAATTATTAAAATTAAAAGCAAGTATCAAGAATAAGTAATAGATATGAATTGAGTGCAGTATTATAGTACATAAAGTATTACATGTTATTTTTACAAACATTCGTACTCCCCTCAATCCAAATCTTATAGAAAGAAGAAAAGAAACAGGAAAGTAAAGTGAAGTAACAAGAACTATTTGAGTATGGGCACTGGAATTCAGACTGAAATGGAGGCTTATATAATTCAAACATCAAACACTTTGCAATAGGCATTGAACATAGAAAACTTACTTAATCGCATCCCGGCACATCCGTCTGATATCTTCTTTGACATAACTCAAGCCACGACTAGCATAATAACCATTTTTCATTCTATTCTCGATCTCAGCAACCTAATTAACAAGGAGAAAATGAGTCATATTAGTTTTAAAAGCGTGTTCTCATGAATATCCTAGATAAACAAACAGATAATAAATAAATAAAACAAAATAAAAATTAATACCTTGGGCTCAAAGATCTCAACTGTGTTCTCCTTCATGATGTCCCTTAAGCTTAAAACTATAAATTTCTCCATCCTCTTGTATCCATTTTCGAACTTTTTCATAGCCAAGCGTCTCAATTGAGCATCCCTTGAGAGGATAGAGGATGACTTTCTAGCATCAAATAGCTTTGAACGCTTATACAAGCTTCGACGGAAAAACTGATTTGCAGAGTCTCTTTTATCCAAACTTTCTAAATATTCCTTCAATCCACTGGAATCTTCCATTTTACTATCCAGCCCACTATAAGTCTTAGAAGCTGATGAACTTTTGTCAGTTATGCGAGTTAGACTCCTAATTTTTGAATGAGTCAGGCTCCTGACCCATTTAATATTTGGAAATTTACAAACCAAATCTTCTAACTGAGAGCAACCTCTAATATCTATAGATGACAAACATGGAAATGACCAGATAACTTCTTCAAGCGTTCCAGAAGTGATGCCAGTACAACCACGTAGGAACAAGGACGTTATTTTTTCTTTGTTGTAATCATTCTGCAAAAAATAGGAAACATTAGGCTCACATTATATATATATATATATATATATATAAAGTGAAAAATAAATAAATATTCTTGGATCCCAACCTCCAATAACATAATAAAGAAACAAACAAAAAGAGAAAAAAACCCCCGAAAGATAAACCACACGCCCATAAGAATATATACAAGTAAAACTTACCATTATTTTCGAGATCGTGGAGTCAGTGCAATCTGGGGCAATGGCAAGAAAGTCAACCTGTCTAGAAATATTTTTATAAAACTTGACCACAGATTGCCAGTGCTTGCAAGTCAAAGAGGCATTAAACAGTGACTTAAGATCAGCACTAAGGAAATGAAATACTCTCGCCAGTACATGACCATCCAGCAGATCCCAGCTTCCCCTCTCAATCTCAGAATCTGCTTCATCTCCTATGCAGAAAGTCACATTGCCACATAAATCATCAAATGTGCATTTGTCCTTCTGAAAAGTTGATGCATCTTCGTCCATCTCATCCTCCTCTTCACTTCCTTCGACCCTAGCTCTTTTGCTGGGACGAAAATGATCTGCAAAAATAACACCCTTAATGGAGAAAAATAATAAAAGATAATAAAAATATATTTATTTAATAAAATGTGGTGAAGGATATGCTTCAGGCCATAACTTAAAATGAAAACTGAAAGACTCCAAGAGGTAGAACTTGCACAAATCTAAGTACTATGTTAATGACTAATGACAAACGGGTAATTTTTTGTAATATCAGTACCTGATAGGTAAATATGTTTGTCCATCTCTTTCTTCAACTGTCTAGCATTGATCCATGGATCTAGGAATTCATTTATAGCTGCAGCAAACTCCCGACTCTTGTATGACTTCATCACCAATTCATGAAGCTTTCCTCGAGTATATCCAATGAACTGTGGAAGTAAGAAATGGAACTTAGATGAAACTATGTGGCTTCCACTTGATATAGCCCTTGATTCTGACAGAGAAGCTCCAGAAGTATCAGTAGATGCTATAGTATTGTCGTTTTCAAACTTTCCACCAGGCTCAGGTTCTTTGGCAGTAGAGGTAATTGGGACCCAAATTTTATCATGTTTTCTAAACACACTGCTATGCTTCTCGATTACACCTTGATCTGCCAATACTTGCAGCTCTGAAAATGATAAAGGTCCTTTTTCATGCCCGGCACCATCTAGATAGTACCAATCACCCATATGTAACTCCAACTCATCTGCTCTGCAGAGGCGGTTGTTTGGTACACTGAAGGATGTGCTGTTCTTCCAAGAACCCTGTGAATCTTGCTCATTCAAGCTCTTTGGGTGACCATCTTGTGATGACCTCTTTGTTTCATCAATTACTGAATATGGTCGTGAGGACCTTGAAGAATATTTTTCCTTTCCTCTACCTTTCAAGTGAGGCTCAGAAACAAATGACCCATAGTCTTTTACCACACATGCATTGATCCTGATCACTGGAAGCATTATTCCTTTCAGTCCCCTAACAGAGGCAGATTTAGTTTGACTTGGTCTGCTTGCACTGACGGGTTCATTCAGTTCTTCTGGTGAGGTAAAGACCCATGGTGGGAGGTCAAGTCTTCTGCTCTGGGAAGGATGGTACAAATCATCTTTCTGCTGCCATCGAGGGTCTTCATGGCCAGATTTTGGCATTTGGCATAGAGGATAGCCATTGTTAAGAACAAGCTTCCTCTTCCAAGATCTATCTTGAGAAACTTCCTCGTTCCTCTTCCAATCCCCGCCCTTGCACGACCACTGGCCAGAAAACCATTCACCAGTGTCAATACAAGCAAAAGTATTATCTTTCTCAGATGGGGTCAGCATAACGGAGCTTGAATCTGCACCGTCTTTCAGTGAAAATTCAGTAATACCATATGAACCATCGCCACTTTTTTCCTCACTTTGTTCACCTAAGTGAAGTTGACACCAAGTGAAATCTGCAAATTCTCCAAATAAGTTCTTCCATAAAAGTGCAGCAAGTGCATATCAAGAATTTATTTATATAAAAGGTTTTACAGTAAAGAATACTATGTTGCAGCATGTCACACAATGAGTAGTAATCTGAAAATGAAAAGCAAACACGGACATTCCAGTATGATTGTTCAGAAGATTCAGCAGAATGTGGGAAAATGTCATATTACTAGCACAGTAATATATGGATAATATATCAACACATTTTTAGTATGCCAGAAGGCCACTTAAGATATGCATGGACATGCAGGAAACATGTCATCCAAGAAAGAATTTGCTACACTCCAACCTCATTTCTCTACTCTATTAAAAGAGCAGAAGCTCCAAAAATCCAAACCACTCCAGCAATATCAGCCAATAGAGCAGCTTATATAACTACACTGACCACCTGAAAGAGATCATTTGAATAAATGGGACAGCGGAAAATATAAAACAACATACCTTCAATATTTCCACCTCTCTCCCACTCCCCAGGCCTAAACGTCATTTGCAGCACTTCTGAAAGAAATTTCCTTCATGAGCTCCGAAACATGAAATTAACTATACAGGAAAAATGGAAAACCACTTACGAAACAGAAGCTGGTTCACAGCCCAAAGTTTCAGTTAGATAATTTTAAGGTTAACAATAAAAAAAAGTTTAAATAATTTACATGTAGCTGTAAATTGCCAAGTGGCAAAAATTAAAGAGGCACTTTAGTATCATTTAATGCCACCTGGCATATAAGAGTAACTTAAAACTTATTTAGGGTAGAATAGTCAATAAACAAATGATAGAAGATTAGCTTACCCCCAACTGTCTCAAGTTCCTTGCCAGGAAGTAATTCAACACCATCTAACAGCATTCCAATTCTTTCATCAATATACAGATCTTCCAAATGCTCTGATACAGCTGAATTGTCCTCGGAGCAGAATATTGGATCTGACGAATGGAACATTGATATTTCACCAGCCACGCTACCAGAAAGTGCCCAGTTTCCCTTATCTGCCAACAAATTACCAGGAGCCTCAGGAGGGCACACTAGCTGAGTAACTTTGTCTGAAACAATTGAAGGGAAATTCGCAGTAACCAATGGGGAAACTGCTTTTTCAACAGTTACCCACCTGTCGCTATCGAAATGCTTGATTAGGTGGTCAGATACCAGATATCCTTCCTCAACCAATGTTTTTAACTGGGACAATTTTGAAGGCCCCCGTTCCACACCAAAATGATCCAGGTAGTACCACTTTCCCGAGGCCGCATCTGCTATCACTGAGACATGTGGAGGTGTGTTGCAGATATCCATATCTTCTTCCATGGATGTCAGCTCTTCAGTAGCTCCATTTTCCAGAGGAGATTCTTTACCCTTTAAAATAGGACTTTCAGACAGCTCTTCCAGATGAGAAGCATTGCTGCCAGTTTTATCATTGGAGCAATTCTCAATATCCAAATTTCTTTTATCTTGGGACTCTTTAGCTAAAACATGGGAATTATTCCCACCAGAATCCTTCTGGTTATGCTTTTGTTCTTGTTCTTTTCTTTCATAATGATTCGACTGCCTCTCGCTCGATCCACTTCTCCAATTTGTTTCCCTGCGGTCACTGGACCTACCATGATCAAATGGTGAGTGCTCCAACGTAGTTGAAGTCCGAGTCTTGCCATCGTGGCTTCGACCTTGATCGTGGGAGGACTGCTCTACATAGCTAGGGCTTTGATATCTATGATCGTAGTAATGGCTCCGAACATAGGGAGACCGACTTCTGTCGTGCTGATGGCTCCGATCGTAGGGAGACCTACTTCTCTCATAGTGATGCCTCCGATCATAAGGGGACCTATCAGGTCGGGCTGGGCTCTGACCCCGATCATCCTGATTGCGGGGCCGATCTCGTGGGGACCGCTCAGAATGACGTGGACTGCTATTATGCCTGTCAGAAACTGCTCTAGATGACTCAAGATGCCTAGAAGAATACCTTTCAGAAGGAATGTTCCGTGATGATGAATGAGCAGTTTTACTCTGTCTCTCAACAAAACGGCCAGAATAGTACTCTGACGAGTATGTAGAGCGGCTACCCTCGTCAGAAAGCTTTCGAATTTTTGAATTAGAGTAGAAATCACCCTCACCACGGTACTTCCTGTCAATGCTATCTGAATCATTACCATACCGCTTTGGGCGATTACCAAAGGAATAGTCTCTTGCATGATTCTTACCGTTATTGAGGTCATTCTTGTAGAAACCTTCCTCGTCCACAACTTTAGAACCGATCCTCAGATTCCTGTCAGCTTCATATCTAGAAGTAGACTTCTTTGCATGCAGATTAGTCCCACCACTTCTATTAAACTCTTTCCCAACCGAATACTTACCGGATGAAGGCGGTGTCCACTCACGTTCACGATCACCTTTCCACCCCTTTTCTTTTGAAGAAGGTGGCGACCATTCATGGTCACCCTTCCAACCCCTTTCTTTACGGGACTGTGAAATCCACTCATGTTCACGGTCAACCTTCCATCCCTTTTCTTTTGAATAAGGTGGTGTTCGTTCATGCTCAAGTTTCCATACTCTTTCCTTTGCAGAATCATATCTTCGCGACTTTGAGTAGCCGTAATCATCACCCCGAAATTCGAACTCACTTCTACGCCACCTGTCGGGTACAAATTCCCCTTTCTCCAATTCTTCCTTTGAGGACCGCCATCCCTCCCTATCCATTTCACCACCACCCTTTCGCCACCTTGGAGTAACAAACTCGTTCTTTTCAAACTCACCCTTAATCTCATGTTTCCTTTCCGGTTTTTCAGGAACAAACTCCCCATTCTCAATGGGAAAAGTTCCCAATTCACCTTCTTCCACCTCATCTTTATTATTACTGCAAACTTCACCATTGCCATGATTCTCAACAGCTTCTTTATCACGGCTAATATTCTTCAAACCCAATTCACCTCGCCTTTCTTTTTTCCCCTTCATTTTTGAACTCATTCTGAGTGAAGACTTTGAAGAAGAATTGATCTTGGTGTTGCCGTTGGTCTTGCCTCCGCAAATTGAAAACTTCTCCATAACATGCTGTGAAGGCACGCATGCAACACCGCCATCGCCCATGGAACGTCCCAAACAAACCTTTACCAATATAACTCACAGTAACCAAACCTAATTCCGTTCTTCACCTGGGTTATCGACGCTCATACTGCTCTCTTCACTTCAAAGACTACAAATCCTTCTCCGAATCCAAACCCTATATAAAAGTATAGCAAAAATTATCAAACCAAATTAGACAAATAACAAAATACCCAATAAAAGCCAAAAACGGGGTTTTAAAAATGAAACAAACAGTGAAATTGAAGAGTCTAGGGCTTTGAATCTTGAAAAAAAATAACCAGAAAATTGAATGGTGAAATGTAATGTCAAATTGAAGAGTCTAGGGTTTTGAATCTGAAAACTTACAAGTTGGGATTACAGAGTTGAGTTGCGAGATTGGATAACGAGACGAAACTAAAGTCACAGTATATTCAAATTGAGAGAATTCGAAGAAGAGAGAAAAACACCAGATCGATTGAATAGCTGAAGACGAATCTCTGTATATCTCTTTTCTCCTCTCTCTGTCTCTGTATATAAAACGAGAGTTTTTTTTTTTTGGAGGGTAATTTTGTCAAAATTTTGTTTTCTGGCTTCAGAAGATTTTGGAGCTTGCATTGGTGGTCAATTTTCATTTTTGACTAATTTATATTCATACCCTTTGGTTATGTTTATTTATTCAAACAGATCCTAAACCACACATTCTAAAAAAGGGAAAAAAAAATTATTTTGTACACAAAATTAAATAATTTTTCCACTTTTTTAACAAAATATTTTTCGAAAAAACACTATTTCAAAACTTTTCCTCCAAAAACATCCATTTTAATCGTTGTCAAACATGGGCTAAATAAATCAATGTTTTTCATTTTATAATATGTGTTTGTATTTCTTTATTTAACCTTTATTGAACTCCCTATATTAAAGTCGAAGAAAATTGAACGATTACCCAAAATATAGTAGTTGGATGCTTCTTGATTTAGAAAATAAATTAAATAATTTAGAGTGTGTTTGATTGACGTGGAAAATATATCCTAAAAGGGAAAATAGTTTCCTTTGTTTTGAGGAAAACAAAAACCCACTTCCCAAAAAAAAAAATATTTTCCTTGAAAACAAGGAAAATTAGACATATTTTTAAAAGTTGTAAAATATTTTTTATGAAAAAAATAGCAATCAAACACTTTAAAGTAGAAATTTGGATGAAAAACTGACATTTTTCATGAAAAATATATGCAATCAAACACATCCTTATACTTTATATTTTTGGGTAGCAAGTGTTGGCCTTGTAATTTGAGAAGACCACAAGTCAACAGAAGCTCAACCACATTTTCGTCCACCTACACATCATTTGTATGCTGGACCACATCGTTAATGTACAAAGGTTATCGATCAAGAAAAATATTTGACGATTATTTGCACTCTGATAGTCAATCAACTATCCGACGATAGAGAATAAATGTCAGAGACGTGAGGAAGAATTGGCAAAAGTTATAACAACATACATTTGGTGAATAACTTCTATACATAATAATATATGGGCCAAGATAGTTTTAGTAGATCGGGCCAAAGCCCAGGTCTCCAATTGATGTAACCAATTACCAAGTAAACGAATGTGAGATCTGTTTGTTAATTTATAAATATAATAGAAAATATGTTTTTAAAAGTTAATATTTATAAAACAAACGAAATAACCTTAGAAAGAAGGCCTCAAAAATTTGTTGCAATTTTTATCTTTATAACAAATCGAGATTATAGCCTATTTATGGTTTTTTTTTCCCCCTCATTGTGGAATGACTGGACGCAAAGACACAGTGTTATCGATATAATATTATTTTTACAACACGGACGAATGTTTTCCATCATTTTAAAGACTTGGGATAAATAGTTGGCTAAATATATACGTATTACTGTTTTTAATAATTGAACCACATTTTAATTATATGAAAGACCCCATAACCCGTACTCAATGACGATTTTTGTTCAAAAAATTCGTTAAAATGAAGTAAATAGACTTATATGTCATCTAATTATAAATAAGTCAAAACGAATATAAAATTATAATAAAATATATGTCCCTCGTTTTAAAACACGTTGACTGTATTTTGATAAAAATCGAGATTAAGAATAATGTGGGGTTAAAGATAAAATATGATGAAAAAAAATTAAGAATATAAATTTAATAATGAATAACGATCATGGACATTTAATGTAATTAATATACGGTATATTTACGAAACCATAGATGAATAAAAGCTCCCTAAATAGTTGAGGAAGGAGATTTTGGTAAATTGAATTTTCAGTGTTTTGTCGTGTAATACTTGATCAATGCAGACAATAAGGGCGTTTCCGTCATTTGATAATTAAGCTAAATATTGGGAATAAAAATTTGAGAGGGACATTTGGGTAAAACGAGGTTGTTTGTTTTGGCGCTCAACTCCAGCGAAATATTCCAAGTATAGGGACTTCCAAAATTTCATCACAAGTCCTTTTTTGACCATCATCATCCAATTTTTTTTTTTTTTAAACATATTCATTTTCAACCACACATTCAAATATTTTATACATAAACCCAAAATTTTTCTTTACTTTTATTAAATCGCGCATTCTCCAAAAATTTACTATTCGAAACTTTATTTTTGAGTTTTAAATATCGTCAAACAGGGGTTAAATTTTGGTGTTGAATAGAATCTTTAAGCCATAGTTTTAATGAGTACAAATTACTAGCCCATATTTGGTGCAGATTAAAAGCTAAATTCTAATTTAAGTAAAAGTTGACAATAAATTTTAACCACATATTTTATAGGGATTATAACTTTTCAACCAAACAGGGGCCTAGTTTTCAAGTCGAAAGAGAACGCAAATTCAGCCCCAGTTTGGACTCCATTCTCTAAAAATACATTTGTTTTTTTCTTATTTTCAATCACATTTTTCAATAAAATAATATGACATATAAACTCGAAATTTTTCTTTATTTTTTAACACATATTCTTCAAAATATTACTATTCAAAAATACATTTTTTTTCCGAAAATACATTTTTAATGAAGCCCAAACAAAGTCTCATATTTTCTAGTAAGTTCATTTTTTATATAGATAACCAGATAACTTTTGTTTACTTTTAATTAATTCGACACGTGGGAAGAGTAGAGGGATATGAGCATGAGGGACGATCTTCTTCGAAATATTTTTAACCTTTTTGAAATAATATGTAGATTTTTAGTAATATGCATAATAATACGTTAAAAACTAAAAATTTAGCTCACTAATTAGTGGTAATATGCCCTTGTTTGACAATAAGTGACGGATCCAACACCCGACGAAGTGGTGCAGCTGTCCGTGCTGGATCCACTGAAATTTACAGGTTAGAATTGTTGGATGCAGCCCCGTCATTATTGTAGTTGCCTGGGAGGTTGAAGGAAAGGGATGAACCCACATTTTTTTTTAATTTGTGGGCTTTTTGATTGGGCTTTTCTTTTTTGAAATTAGGCCCATCATCCAGGCCAGGCTCTTGATATGATTCCACTTAAGCTGCTACTTTGTATCCATGCATATTTTGCAAAAATCAAACAAAGCAAAAAATACCTATCTTCCTCCGATTGCACAGTCAACACTGAGCCTTCAGCTTTGTAAGTTGTGCCCTATCGACGCCATGCCTCCGCCCTCCGCCACTGCCTACTACAGCCGTCACTGTGTGAGCCTCACTTATTTTTTTAGTTCATTTTTTGATGTCATTTTCATTGGGAATGTTTAATGATTTATGAATCTATTATTTATGTTTTATGACAATGGTCTATGAGCATCCTGCTAAGGTTTATGAAGGTTGGTTGTGTGTGTGTTGTATAGTAGAGGTCTAATTTTTTCCCTCTTTATAGAGTATTTTGACTGATTTTATTTCTTTATTATTAAACTTCTTTTTGTTCCTATGGCTACTGATCATTTTGGTGACTAGTTATTAAAGCAATGGAAATGATTCAAATGGTTTAGGCTCCGTCTTAGCTAATTTCAGTGTGTTGTGTTTAACTATTTTCATTTGTGGATTATTTCTTTATGAATTGTATGCATTTGATTTGGTATGATATGCAATTGCATAAGATACTAAAACTAAGAATAATGTAATTGACTAGTTACAATTTTCTTAAATAGTATCATACTTTAAATAATGTCAAGGAAAAGGAAAAAGAGGAGAAAGTATAATTTGTAGGAAGAAACGTTTTGATGAAAATGTCATTGTAAACAACGCACGATCATTTGGAGATTATTTCATAACTAATTATTTCCTTTATATGGTAGTTCAAGCAATTGGATCGCTTGACTGAAAGTTCGATCAATTCAATTCATATGAAAAAAAATTGGATTTCTATTTTCTTTTGACAAGTTAAATACATTGGATGATGCTGATTTGAAAGAATGTTGTGATCATCTTGACATTTTTCTAAGACGTGTAAATTTTTGTAATCTTGATGACAAAGATTTGCTTCGAGAGTTAAAAATTTTGTGAAATCTTTTAGCAAAAGAAACAAAAACGATTTTTGATATATTAACTTATTTGAGCTACTAAAAGAAATAAAGACAGTTTTTGATGCATTGACTTATTTGAAAAAAATTGGATTGCTTTTCAAATACATTTATTGTTTATCGAGTATTACTAGCAATGAATGTTATTGTTGTATCTGCCAAAAGAAATTTTTCAAAATTGAAATTATTAAAATCTTGTGTACAATCATCCATGTTATAAAAACGATTGAATGACCTAGTTTTAATATCTATTGAACAAGATTTGTTAGAAACGAAAGTTTAATTAATTAGTTTGCTTTTAGAAATACGAAAAGAAATATTTTTACATGATTTGTTGTATTTCAAAGTTTACACTCGGTATTTGATGCTTCTTATTTCGAGGTTTTCTCATATGGAATTATATGAAAAGTTATCGCACAGGGCATTCAAAAATCCAGGGCCGGCCCTGGGAACAAATTATACTCATCGACAAGTACCTACCTCAGTGCCTCAAAGTGCTGCTTATGGAACTTATCC